GAGAAAAACATCTTGTCATCAAAACTCAGGGGACTAACAAATCAGTGGAAGATAGGGCTGGGAAAGAGAGAGAACAAGACAGCATGCCATTCTTATTCACTCGTGTAAGATGCGGCTGCTCCTAAGGTTACCTCTGAATGAAGCTTGGGAGTTAAGTGAAAGAGGAATATGCAGCAGAGGGGAACTGAAACAAAGCCAAAATTTCAGCACTGTTAGGTCTTGTGGCCACAATGCAGACTCTCAGCATTTGGCTGTGCAAAGTGTTTTTATACTTTCTCCATCTCTTGGCCTCAGGTGATTACAAAAGACTGATTTTATTTTGCATGAGATTCCCCACCTGGAGCAGAGGAAAGGTTATCCATGTGAGCCTGAGGCGCATGGAAACCACAACAAGCACATAAAGAGTCCAAGCTTAGTAGCCTGGAGACTTCACACATAATAACAGTTATTTCAAAACACAGAGGTCAGGCGTCATTGGACCAATTTTACATGCCAACAGAGTATCTGCGTTTGAGCTGATTCTCCCCACTCCTTTTATAGTCAAGAGAATTCTTCCCCTTGTGTTGGCAACACATATTCCACCACATGTATCTAGAATTATTTACAAGATCTCTGCCAATTCAGCTGCAGACTTAAGACTACATATCTTTCAGTTAAGTTTCAGAGGTAGATAATGCTTTCTTTGTGGTAGGAGTGCTTTTCTCTCAGCTCCTCCTAATAGGGAACACTCCACAATGCGTTTTACTATAATATGAAAAAGAAAGAAAGACAGAACTCTTTTTAGTATTTGTTTTCTTTGGTAACTGAAGAGAAAAGAAGGGAGGTGAACTTAGCTTAAATATCCACCGCTTTTCACCAGTTAAGTATTTGTTCAGCAGTCCTGAATTTCTCAGTCCTGCTTTTATCTTCCTAAGCGATGCTGATGTTTCTATTCAACAACTTTCCCTTCAAACCCAGACCCTTAGGCATCATTCTGCTTTTATTTGTTCCACCACAAATAGCAGAGGAGCTATTCAGCACTTGTCAGGTTTGTTTGTTTATTGCTTCAACCATAGAGACATACGACATTCACCATTGTCCAGGATACATCTCTGGGATTTAGTAGCAGCTAAAACCATTCTGGTGTTGTCTAGAATAATCACAACTTCAGTTGTTTTTAATGATCGTGACCTGCTTTCACTTCTGCTCTCTCACACATTTCTCTTCCTATCCTTCATCTTACCCCAACAGCAAATCTAGAGCTCTTCCATGCTTTTCTCTTTCCCCTTCTGCTACTTGCTGGTAATGCATCTCCTTACTCCATGCGCAAGCAGTGGCTTCTCTAAACAGGCACTTTTCATACCTTTGTCTGATGGAAACATTCTCAGACCGCAGTCTAAATCTCTCCAAAGTAAAGAAATCATGAAATGCAAACAGTGGGATAGATTCAACTGAATTACAGACCTTGATCTCTTGGGGTGAATTTTCCCCTCCTTCTGCATCAAAGGCATAGGAATAGAGTAGGGCCAAAGTCCCCATGGTCCTCCAAAACTGGGCAACAGCCCATGGCCGTGGAAGAATACATCAATAAGAGGACAGAGCTGTATTGAATATCCTTCCAGCACTCTTACGAAGACTTTTCTGCACCAGAAATTTTTCCTGTTATTTATGCCATGTCATGTCTAAAACCTAAGGCTGTCAAATTACAAATACTTTCTCCAAAAAGTCTCAACCTCTGATTTCCATTACCCCTAATCAGGACGAAATCCCTCAGGATTTCTTCAAGAGAAAGAATTACAGGATGAAGGGGAAATTCAGCTTTGGAAGTCTGCTAAGAGTCTCCCAGGGTTGCATTTCAGAGCTTCAGGTTTTCACTCTGGCTTATTTTACTGTATAGCCTTTCCAATCCTGTTTTGCTCCTCTATTTATGTTAACCACTATGTCAACACAAACACTGTTTCTGACATCACGTGGTGAGACAGCGTAAAAATTAAAGCAGTCCATCTTATTTTTGTGAGTATTAATGATAGCTGCTATTCAGCATTAGCTCAGCCACCTTCCTCTAATAAATCAAAGCATCTCCCCTTGCTGGGCTGAAATTACTCGACACTTAGAACAAAATATCTGCTTTGTAGCTGAACTCTGGAGAGTATTGACATCATGTCACTTCAACAATCTAATCTAAGTGAGGATTTAGAATGAGCCTCCAGGTAATCCATGAAGAGTTACAGAGACCTCATTTAGAGGTTTGGATAACCTTTCTTGGCTCTTTCAAGCAAATGATGAGATTCCATACTTGGGAATCTAAGATAGAAACCATAGAAAGAAAATTCGAGTGTACCAAATGTCAGACTAACTTCATAAAATACAAGGTGTTCCATGTGGGAAGGCACATTTTAGTCATCAGCAAATATCCTTGGTAATTTCAAATAGAAAATAATATTTCAGTACTGCATACCCCTGAATTATGATTTCAGTAGTAAAGTGCTGCCTTTCAATGCTTTTTTTCTATTTATTCCAAAACCTATCTTTCTAAACTGAAAAATTCATCAGAATGTACCTTTATATAAGCAATTTTAACATGAAAAAAGACTTTTTTTTTTTAACACCTTTGTCCAATGAAACTGTTTTTTAGCTTTACTTTTTTAACAACAATTTTGTAAACAGTTCTCTAAAAAGAGAGAAGTTATAGACAGGTTGTACTACTTCATTTCTTTTTCTGTCTTTTGTATTTGAGGCAGAAAAGTGGTGGTTTTTAAAACAGAAATAACAAGGCCTTTTACTGATCCTTTGTAGAAACCGTGATTACTCAGTAAATTTGATGATTGCACACACATCATAATTTCACTAGTGTTTGAGTAAAAAAAAAATTCAGCCTTTTGTCCCATGTTCTTTGTTTATACTAATTTCTTCTTAAATTTTGATTTTTTTTTCCTCTTGCAAGAGTAATGACTGAAAGAAGGAGTTACAATTCAACCTCTGCTTTCATGCCTAGTATTTCCCTTCTGTCATCTCACTTAGACCCTTCAAATCACTTTTACAGATGATTGGCTCTATCCTTTGACCAGACATAGTATCTTGGGTAGAATTTATCCAGCCTGAATACACCCCGTAAGGAGCTAGTAAGCATATTGTTATCAACATTGCTATCTGTATTACCACAGTGCCTAAGGCTCCATCTGGGGCCAGGGTCCTACATATGCCAGGCAATGTATACAGAGAAAGGTGCAATCCCCCTAAGATTGCTGCTTAGAGAATAGAGTTCTTATGTAAACAGGTATTGAAATTAATTTGGTGTTATCTCTACTGATATTTCACTGAGACTACAAGCATTTTTCAGTAAGAAAGGTCACAAAGAAAGGCAAGATAACTCTACAAATAGAGTAGCTTTCTCCATACCTACTCCATTGTAATTAAGATGTTGATTTGGGGGGAGGGAAAAACATAACACTTGGGAATATTTTATTAATTATTTTTCAGCTTGAGTGCACAAGGTTAAATGCAGCCTCAGGCAGCTTTCTCTGATGTGACTCACATCTCTACAATGTCAGAGCTCTTAGTGACACTAACAGACTCATATTTTCTGAAGAACAAACCATCCTCTGGTGTATTAATTAAGCCCAAGCATATCCCACAGAGAAGCAATGCAAAAATCACAAGAAGTTTTGTACAGTAAGTTAAATGTCTATAATACCTATGGTTTGATGACTGCTGAGCGTGAAATCTCTCATTTATCCACAGGACACGGACAGCAAGGATAAGAGCTTAGTGTTTCCCCACCGTGACCATGCCTACAGTGTGCACAGGTGCTGGTCTTGACACTAGGTCAGCACTGGCCTCTCCAATACGAACCATAGAATAGCTAAGGCTGGAAGGGACCTCAAACATCATTGAGTTCCAACCCCCTGCCATGGGCAGGGTTGCCAACCACTAAAACAGGCACCAGATGAGGTTACTCCACAGATGGGCAAAAACAGCCAACAGGTGACTTTCTTATCTCCAATCATAGCAATGTTTTATATTACTTTTCATACATATCTTAGTGGGAGTTAGGAGCATTTGTAAACATTCTACTGGAACACATTTACAGAAAAAAAGAATTACAGCTACCTGTCATTAGAATTGCAGCTATTATTTTCAATGCGTGCTTAGCACACAAAGATATTTTCCTTGCACAAAAATAATAAAATTATAATTAAAAAATAAAAGCCAAATTCACAACCAAAAAGTGACAGCTCAAAACAGTTTATGCTTTCATGCAGAATTGCTGCTGAAGTGCCTCAGTAAAGCTGTAGTTCGTTTTCTGCCCATCTCTTCCTTCAGTCTACACCCAGAGCTCCCCTAGCTGTTGCGTGACCCCAGTGCATACATGTGAGTTTTGTTAGTCCCGTCCTGTGCTTCGTGGAGGGTAGAAAATAGGGTGTAGTGGTGGATTCAGTCCACCTGGGAAAATTGTATAAGGGGAAACAAATATTTCTGGCTGCTGAACAACACCATCTTTTCTGCCAAGTTTCTGTTTGAAGGCTCACAAGTTGATAATTCTAAAATCAGGTGCCGCAGCAAATGGACACATCTAGAAAATGTCTGTTAAACAAAATGGGAATAGAAAGATGCAATGTGTCAAAAATGAATTTTCATCAAATCCTTCATAGGAAAAATGTCTGTTTCAGAATTTCTGAAGAGACTCTCAAAAGGAACAGTTGACAGCAGTTTTGTTCCCTCCATAACATTCCATTCTTTTGGAGTTCTAAAAAGCACATTATTTTTAATATTTTGTAGATTTCAATTTAGAAATCTATAATTTTCCAATTTTTTTGCACTAAATTATAAAGTTCCCTTCCTCTTTTGTCCAGTGCAAAATTAGACACTGTTGGAGAGGTTTGGAAATCAGACTTGGCATTTTTGCCAACTCACATTTCAAAAGCTGAAGAAAACCTGAAAAGTTGCAGAGAGATGAAAAAAGAAAAGCAAGCTAGGAAAGCCAAAATGAAATCTAAACTTGTATGGATTGTATGAATATTTATTAAACAGCTTTTCTCCTGAGAGACTGACATTCTTAAAGATTGATATTTGAAGGAAAAGGACAACAAAACCTGACACATCAGAAAGACCACTCAGATTCCTTTGGTGGTTAGTTCTGCAGTAGGTTGACAGCTCACAGGGTTCAATACAATGTGGTAGAATGAGGCATATTATGAGATCAAGAACAGATCTCTACCAGCACCAACAGCTGAATACAGTTTCACTGAGATCCTGCAGGCAAAAATAATGATGTTTGGGAACTCAGATGGAAAAAGCTGAAAACATCAAGAAATTCTTCTTCACACAGACTTGTTTCACCCAATTCGTTGATCATATGAGAGCTTGGGCCCAAGTTTTGTCCAGACTTCTGAGTAATCTGCCTTTTGATCAGACCACAGAGCAAAGTTCTTATGCCCTTGGGTTCAGTGCCTTATGGCACAAACAGATTTGCCGCAGAACCGGAGCCCTACACACTATTTGATAACCATTTTCCAACCCTCAATGATCCAAAGGGTAGTTTTTGCTATGATATCTAAAACTGCTACTGGAGTATGCAGTCATCCTGATTGACAAGCAAACTACACAGATTTAGGTTATGCTGAACGGTTTAATGTTTAAATTATATGGTGAGATTACTTTTTGCAAGTGGAATAGCATGGCAAGAAAGTTTGAAAGAAATCCCTTACCATGTACTATTACAAATCTCTCATTTTTGTGGCCAGAAGGATCAGCCCTTCGGTGTAATTTGCTCAGATATTTGAAATAGTTGTTTCACTTCAGATAATAATCAAACCTGCTGTCAGCATTACGTAAGTTTTGTAGAATAGATGTACATGCAATGATGTAATTCATAAAGATACAGATAAAAAAGTGCAACTTTGGAGAAATTCGAATGGATGTAGAGTAGTATACAAATCATAAACATCTGTAAAAATTCAGAAGGTGGGATCCTAAAGGAAACGTCTTCTCATCTGCTATGTCTCCGTTGCATCAAACCCAACCCAGCTCTTTCACACACTTCCTAGCAGCTCCCTCAAGTGGCCATAGAACAGAGCTATCACAGCAACACGCAGCAAAACTACCCACAAGTGCCATGCGTGGCTTTTGGCTCATAGCGCTCTCCTTTCCATGACATTTACATTGTTAGAACTATCCCAAACCCATTATGAGATGTATCAGGTGCAAATTCAGGGTGAGGTGGGCAATAGCAGTAAAGAAGTACAGAACACAAGGAGGGACAGGAGAATATGGATCCAAAAACAGATGAACAGATTGAATTCTGCTAGTTGTTTAAGATGTTTTCTAAAGGCTATAGATAGACTTATCTTCTCCCCCCCCCCTCCCCCCCCCCTTAAGCGCAGGCTTTTTGGAGTGAATTAGTTCAGGATGTTTGCTGGCCTCCACTCAAAGCTCATTTCTCATGGTTTTTTTTAAAAAAACATCTCCTTTACAAAAGCAAGCCAGGCTCCAAATAAACAAGAATGCAGTCAGGCAGTGTTCTCAGGGCATGCAGGGTGTCACGACTCAGAGGAGCTCTTGTTGGTGTGACATTGCTAAAGCCTCTCAGTGAGAGATATCAGAGATCTTCAGATCTCAGTTGAGGTGTGAGGAAAGACAAACTTTTGCATTTTGCATTTTCTCCTCCAATTCTGGCTCACCCACAGGACAAGGATTTGCTTCTTACCTCACCTCTTATGTAGATCTTTCCTGGGGATGTTGGAGATGGTTACTTTGCTCCTGCAAAAGCTCCCTGTTTTTCTGTTATGTTTCCAAACATGCTGTGTTCCTGCTCTGCCAGCCAGTAAATAATAACTAATCTGCAGTTCAAACAAAAGATTGATTTATGGAGGGGAAAGACTGAAAATCTGAAGCTCTGGGAAATACAGCATTATTCTTAGAAAAAAAAAAAAAAGAAGAAGAAGAATGTGCTTCACACACAGTGATTATCCTCGCTTCATTAAAGTCAAAGAAACTATGACAATTTTTACATGTAGAAGATAAGTGACTTTCAGTTAATCTAGTTCCCTTAATGACTATTTTTTTCCCGATGCACAACAAGAGAAAGCTCCGCATTATCATGAGTAGATTGCCTCAGGTTCTTAAATGAACTCAGGTTGAGTTTGAGCCAGTGACTTTCAGCATTACATAACTTGTAAACTCCCTAAAATTTTCCAAAAGAAATACATCCTTTCCTTCTCTGGAGACAAATTTAGTACCTAAACAAAAGGCTTTTCTCAGCTGTGTTACACAGATTCCTTCGTTCACACACAGAAATCCTCTGTTATGCATTACCTGGTAGTCTGTAGCACAAACTTAACTATTCTGCAAAAATGAGTTCCTGGTCTTGGGTACTTGAAAAATACATTTGTTCTACCTCCTCTGTAGAATTAATAAATGTACAGTTAGAAGAGCAGAATGGTTAGGATGGTATTTTACAAGTTTATTATTAAAAAGATTAACATGGTGGAAAGTGACAATCAAAAACAAAATGCTCACCCATGGCGTAGACTCATAGTAGAAAACACCAAAAGGAGGAATCTCCAGAAAGAGATCCTTCCTCAGTGGCAGTCAGCCCTTAAATAGGGTCTAGGAGAGGTGAAGCCAGGCACCTCTCTGGTCACACAGCTGAATTGCCTTCACCTGTGCTCCCACAGCTGACTCAGTCCTTGCTTCAGGTGATCAATTAGTGGTTCAGGCTGTGACTCAACAGTTCCTCTACACTCCTGAAACATGGATTCATTGCATTTTCCAGCCTCAAAACCTGATTATAGCACCACTAACCTGTTAGGTCAATAGAACTGACAGGTCTGCACAGGTGTAACACCAGAAGAAAATTAACCCCTTTGTCCTTGTCAAATCTATTTTCAGAGCAACCAAAAGTTAGGCTGCATTAGTAACTTCAGACCAGGACATCAGTTCACACATACTAATCAGATACTGAATCTATTTGGCAGATTTTTTTGTGTAATGGGAAATACAATCACAGAGCTGAAATTTATCAACAATTCAATCTTTAGACTTCATTTGCTTACTAGTTTTCTTGTATAATATTGCGCATTACTTTCTCCAGCCCTGTTCTTGTGGCAGGATACAAATAGCGTATTTTTATAAATAGACACAGCTTGCTCATCCAGCATAGAGCTAAGCTATGAATTTTTGAAAATCACTGACCATCTATTACATACGATCGTCACCAAAGGGAGAAACAAAACACCCTTTTTTTATTTTCTCACTCATGGCCAATATCCAACAAAGCACTCAGCCATGTGCTCACATTTCCCCCTGGACTGGGGGTCTGCCTCCTGGGTAGTGCATGGCTGCACCAAGGAAGGTACATTATGCAGCACCACAGTAAGACAATCAAAGAGAGGTGCTTAAATAGTTGATTTAGACAACTGGAATATGACAATCGTTTCGTGGAATGGAAATATCCTTTATGTGATTATCCTATAGAAATCCAGAGGTTAATGGGCTCAGAGACTCTGTTCATAATAGAGGGAGGTAGTAGGCAACAGGATTGCCTCAAAGCACATGATGTGATAATAGAAAATTGCTTCATATAGGGCATTTCTTATATTCTCTGATTATCACATTTTAGAAAGTGAAGCATTTGATGAAAACCACTGGACTACAAATTGGTGCCAACAGTATCTAGCTTTCTACTTCCACAGTACGACTTGCTCATTATGTCCCATTAAAAGGGTAAAGATAATGGATTCATTTTTGTATCAGCTATACTCTTTTATTTTTTATTATGTCTATTTTGCTAGTGGAATAGACTCACACTGAAAAATCCAAGAACTCTTTTCAGTGTCTAATCTATGAATGGCAGGACCTTCGTTTTCTGGGAATAATACTAAAAAATGACAGAGTTATTAGTTTTGTTAACTAAATATGATTTTTTACTTTGGTCTTCAAATTATCCCAATCTAAACCATTAAATTTGAACACTTCTAAGCCTGGTAGCCTGAATTTATATTGAAATCTATACTTAATCCTTGTCAATAGCCCAGATCCATTTTCTAGGTGAACTAAAATCACCGCTTTTCTATCTTGGTGATTTGCATGCATCACTCAGTGGGTAATCATAGTTCTGGTTCACATGCACAGATCTGTGTCTCTTGCACTGGGATTTATTAACACACACTCATGCTTCGTGTTTGTGTGCCTAGTGCATGATATAGATAATGAGAAAAATGCTGAGGAGCTAACTGGTAGTTTTCTGGGTCCTGAAATTAAACACTATTTCTAAGGTATAGCCTCTCTTCAGCATCATGTCAAAGGAAAGAAAAGGAAGAATGGAGGGGAGAGAAAGCACCTTCTAGGGCTCCTGAAGCTTTTAATTGAATCAGTGATTCAGGAAATCTCATTCTCTCTTCTGCTTGCTCTGAAATGAAGGAGAGACAATGAGCAGATTTCCGTCAGTCAAACAGATGCTCTCTGCATGCAGACATTTTTCTGTATATTGGAAGCTTCGATATCACAATTAGCTTTGTATGATCTGATGCTAAAGACGCTAAATGCCTTTCCTGTAAAAAACTGAAAACATTCACTTAAGCAAAAATGACTTCTATAAAATTAGTCTTATAGCAATACTTATCATGAGATTGCACTGGCAGTAAGCTTTTAATTGATCAAATAAGAATATTTTCAAGTTGTCAAAATTATTTGCATTACATGCCAGCTTAGACTGAGCAGTAAAGCTTCTGTACTAGCACACTGTGTACCTCGTTGTGATTAATGATATGGTCCAACTTCGTATGTCTTCCTGTAATATGGTTAAGAGGAATAGGCTATCAGATACAGTTCAGAATGAAGATAAATGCACCTTTTTAGTGAAACTTCAAGTCTTAGAATAATTGTTTATTTAAAAGGCATGGGGGAAAAATACTCTTCAGATAGCTCTGCAGATGCTGCATATTGGTCTAAATCTGTACTTAGGCTGATTTACATCATAGCAGGACATGGCTTAATTTTTCATACTTGCAGTAGAAACCAGTGCTAACTCTTTTTCCTTTACATCTCTGTAAATATGATGCAGCTCCATCAGTGCAAAGAAATTAACGCTTTTGTGCTTCACAGTGCAAAGCCTTTATAACTCTCCATAATAAAGCTCAACAATACATTCTGCTAAATTTATCTTCCTTGTAATTTCCCTCCGCTTACTCTTTACAAAATAGAAGTTTATACTGCTAAAATACATATGCTTTATATATATAAATGGGAAGATGGCAAGACATTTGCAAAAAGATGTAGCAGATCTGCTCTTCTGGACCATGGAAATAATTCCCTGGGAGAGAAAGTAGGGAGGTACTGTTTCAAAAAAAAAAAAAAAAAACAATGAACATACATAGGTGTATAGTTGAATTTGCTGGGAAACAGCTTTAACTGATATAACAATAAAAGCATTCTTGATCTCAAATGTTGTGCTGTTGTATATCTTTGGCCAGGGTTAAGAGGAGTTCAGTGGAGGCAAATTTAGTTTACAACCCCTATTTGGGAAACAAGATTCTTCTTTTCAGCCCCTGGTCTGCTGGCTGCAGTATCCCATGGTTAATCCAAGTGGGATTGTTATCACTGCTACTCATTATCATTAGGGATGCACCAGGATGTGCTTTGTCCCATGCACTTAACATGCCATAGAATAGCGACATTAGCAAATCCAAGATCATAGTGTTCAGGTGGCTTTTCCTCTGCTGTTGGTTTGGAAAATATTTTTGTAAATGTAGCCACAAATTTAATTTTCAAAACTGCAGGAAGGTACTAATAGCAATCGTACACTCATAGTCTTTAAATAGGTTTTCCGGATTGTTATCCTGCAGCATAGGTTATATGTAGTGACATGAAAAGGTGGATTCTTTATGTTGATTTTGGATAAGTACAAGACATGTTTCTGATTTCAGAGTTAATGGAGAAGTATCTTCTGCACTGCTGGTAATGAATGCAAAGAGCTGGGGGAGTTTTGGCATTTTCACTTCCTAAGCTTTTTTGCCAAAATTTTAAATGCATGTATATGAAAACTCTTTTGCAGTATTTTTTAAATACTTAAAATGCAGCTTAGAATCATAGAATCATTAAGGTTGGAAAAGACCTCTACAATCACCCAGTCCTACCGTCAACCCATCACCCCCATGCCCAATTACCACGCCACTCAATGCCACATCTCCACAGTTCTCCAGAGATGGTGACACCACCACCTCCCTGGGCAGCCTATGCCAGTGCCAGAGAACTTTTTCCTAATATCCAGCCTAAGCATCTTCAGAAGGCTTTAATATTAAAAAATAAGAAGTTATAAAGCCCATTGGTTAATAGGAGCCGATAGTAGCTGCCAGAGATATGGGTGCTTCTGAAGAAGCTGTGAGAACCTTGTTGATGTGAAATAACCTCTCCATCACATCAGGGAAAGGTATGAATTGGAATAGGCAAGAGATTAGCTTAAGTCCTGGAATTAAAAGCTTAATATTCCTGCCAAAGTTGTTATCATCTGATAACTTCAGCTAGATTTTTAATCCTCTTTGCTAATTCCAGCAAATTCCATGGTCTAGTAACAGTAATTTTATCAAATGTCTCATTTGGGAGCTATAAGCAATACAGAAAAAAATGCACTCTTTTCAGCCTTTCTGCACACTCTCCCTTATACATAATTATGAATTAAAGTTTTCATTTCTGATCTGCATCCTTCTTGTTCTCTAATCTCATTCTAGTGCTCTGGGGATGAGATAGTCTCTTGTCTGCATGGCATATAATACGCTGGGGAATCAACACCATAATTTAAGAAAGCCAGCATGATATTTTCTGCATTTTTTTCCTGCTCTGTATCCACTGAATTACAGCAGATCTGTGGCTGTCCTCCTAAAAGAATGTGCTGAATACTTAATTTTAAAGAGTCTTTGGATTAACTAATGGAAGAAAAGACACCGACTTCTTACTTTCGCAGAAATCCAGCTAGGGAAGTCCCTCAGCTGAAAATATATAGTGCTGAGGAGACTATTAAAAGGAAGTATCATAGGTCTTTGACCTGGACTAGAGCCCTGTGTGAGACAAGCTGTGGGCAAGACAGACCATCAGTTTTACCCAGTGTATCACTAAACCTCTTTGCAGCATCACATGTACTCAGCCAGAGGTCTGAGTCTTAGATGACCAGATTTTTTGCTGTTATAAAATTAGCACAGCTTCATTCCCTAGACTGTATGATGGTCGTTTACATGTAGTGAACTGGATAGAGTGGAGAGCAGTGAAGGTAGGTAGCTTAGAATCCAGTACGTATGACCTATAGTTGTCAAACTCAAGTAGCAATGAGAAAGTTATGGACATGATGCCTGTCTGGAATTTATATATGTGTATAAGATCATCAAAAACATGTTTTTTTATAGTTGCTGAGTTGCATTTACAAAAAAAAAAGACAAGAAGACAAGTATACCTCACCAAGATGACAAAGACCAGAATTTGACCCTCAGCTGGGGAAAAGGAGTTTCCTTTTCATGAAGTCCTGCTGTTTAACGTTTCAGAGCTTTCTTATTCACAACAAAACAAAAATCAAGCCCAACAAAAAGCTATTAC